AAGGCCTCCCACCCAATGCGCCATGTGCACCTTGCTGACGATGAACAGGTCCTCCCGCTTCACAGCCTGCTCTTGGATCTTCTCTTGGATGGCTTCCCCCACCTCATGTTCATTCTGATAGGCATAGGCACAGTCAATGTGGCGATACCCTGCATCAATGGCCACCTTCACCGCTTCTTTCACTTTGCCGAGAGGAGACTGAAAAGCAAAAGAAAAGCCCATCACACAATTTTTTTTTTTTTTTTAAGCCTTGGGGAGTTGCCGTGTTGCCCAGGCTGGCCTCACACTCCCAGGTTCAAGCAATCCTCCCACCTCCCCAGTAGCTGGAATTATACCACATTCAGCAACCAACATATTGTCTTGTCCCCCGACCACCTTCAATAGGCTGCCCCACATGGCCCAGTTTCTCCAAACCAAGGTCTCACTGGGCTCTCCTTTGCCAGGTGATATCCAGGAGGATATCCAGGAGGATACACACTTTATTATGATTATGTCCTATGTCCTGTCCTAGTTAAAGTCAGTTCCCTTTCAACCAGGTTAGTCCTGAAAGGTCTACAGGTGTGTCAGGGAGTGCAGATGGCTCCACTGCAACTTCATGAAGACCCGGATGAAAGCTTGACTATAAATAACCCAGAGGAATTTTCAGACAATATCCCCAAATGGTGATAAGGATCTGGATAATGGTCATTACAGCATCAATCCGGATTCCAACACTTACTGGGTGTGTAGGTCTAAGTAGTTGATTCCATCTCTCTAAACCTTGTTTGCAAAATGGAAAAAAAAAAAAAAATGGCACCAGCCTCATGAGGGCTTTGTGATGATGACATGCTGCAATGAATGTTAAGTTAAGCTCATCACCTGACACACAGTAAGGCTCAGTAGAGGCCATTCATTATACAAGGATCCTTTCAGAAAAAAAGGAGAAACAGAAAACCTTATAGGAATAGAGTTTGTTTTCCATTCCTATAAGAAGAAAGAGGGAGGGAGGGAGAACAAGAGAGAGGGAGAGAAAGAAGGGAAGGAAAGAAAAGCAAGGAAATAGAATTATCACGTATTTGTTCTAACCTAACCAAGTCAATGATGGGGGCAAAACACTTAAAACTAGATCTCTCACAAAATAGTCTTTTGAACATCTTCTACTGTGAGACAACAAACATTGAAAAGAACACAAAATATAGATGCACAGCTGCCCTACCACCTGAACAAGAAACGGGCTGCTGCCAGGCATCTAGAAACACCCCTG